AGCTTAAGGAAGGCACTGGGTATGGCTCAGCCTCCATCTGTGGGCTACACATCTTCAGGTTTGGGTTCTAGACTAGCAAGTGTGTCCCTTCTTCCAGTCAGCATTTTGGGGCAACTGAGCCTCACTGTATCTATCCTAAATAAGGACAGAGCAACAGTAACTCCAGAACCGGTGCCAAGCACACTTAGATCTAAAGGTCCTCAGTTGAGCAGGCACAATGACACGAGAGAGCAGGAGGAGAACATCCATAAGGCCCCCTTCACTCCTGTGCCTCACGGACAGAAGGACAGGGGTGTCAGGCTCTGAGGAGTGTTGACATGAATAATATAAACAACCTCACATTTATAAATCCATGCTTTCCTGAGTGAGTTACCAAGAGTCCAGCATTCTAACCAAATAAAAGGGATTCATACCTTCCCTTCAACCACCTTCGGTAAGAAAATACATGTTTCATTTCCAGTTTGCAATTATATTCACAGCCAATTCTTAGATTAAATTTAGATTTTTTTATAATTTCCAAACATAATGATAAATGTAAGAATATGAAGTTATTGAGGTCTTGGTTTGTCCAACAGATATAATTATTAATTGTAGAATACTGTAGGAAATGTAAAGTGTCATTTTAGGAGGGAGGAAGAACACAAGGAGATTCTAAGCACATGTGTTCTAGAGCACCCTCGTTTTACATATGTGCCCTCATAAAGGTACAGTAAGAATAAAATGAGATAATATATGTAAAAAGCTTAGGTCACTGGCACATGTAAAGAAATTTAAAAAGTGAGCTATTTTTAAAATTAATACTCATTCTTGATTATTTAGATCTATGCCCCTTTCTTCAAATATTTTTGAAATCATATAATTTGTTTTAATTCTTCATTAACAGAGAAACTAAAAGAATTTCATTTTTACTGCTCTTAGAAAAAGAAGCATTTCATGGATACTAATGAGTTCTTGTGAGTACCAGGTAAGTTGCCATTGGGATAACTGTATAGCATTTAGGATGGAGACATAGGCTCAAAGATAAAGGAATAGTTCCCAAAGATGGAAGAGAAGAATAGAAAAATATTTCAGATACATCAATTCTCTTTTTTAAAGACATGCACTTAAGATACTATTTCTTAAGTGATAAAATGGGGGACGGTACTAGAAAAGGTGGTTGAAATTTATAAGAACAGTGTCCATCCTTTAAAAAGAAAAAAAAAGTTTCCTCTGATCTTTTCTCTGAAAGAATATTGTTAAACTTTCGCATGTACTATGAAAAATGGTTTACATCTCATTTCTGAAATGATAGGACATTAATAAAACTTAAAAGATCTCATTCATTCAAATAAACACAAAGATCTCAATTTCTGTAAAGCATCTGAATCTAGCTCTAAAACTAACCTGTAGTTTAACTAGATACAGTCTGTACCTACAGAAGACCATGGCCCACTAGTTGAGTTTCATTCGTGTCCCATAATCAGTCTCCATGGCCTTCACATTCTCATACATTCTGATCCTGGGCTTCATGGCCTTCTGTCAGCCGACTCTCCAGCATTTTAGCTCCCACGTTCCCTGGCACTGCTCTGTGAAACCTACTCTCCTTGCAAAATGTTCCCCACACCCACCAGAACTAATGTACTTGATGTCATGGAAAATCTTTCTCTGTTAAATGATTACCCAGGACCCACTTCCTCTATGAAATTGTTCTCATAGAGTTCAGTCTAACTTCTATTCTGAGTCCTTCCTCCTGCCTATTTCATGCAACTATGAGTACATCTGCATAAACTCAGGCATCCCTTAAAAATGTGAATTCTTTTTGAATGGAATTCCTGAATCAAAATCTTCCATGTCTATGAGAACTCCTACTTGGCTAATGAAGAAACATATGGCATGTTAGTGAATATTGATGGATTTATACAACTTTATTTTTTAGTGCTAATATTCAACAAACAGAAGTAAAGCAGTTTTTTGGCATGGAGAATCTGACTCTGGAGCCAAACGATTTAGTTACTAATCCCAGCTCTATTACTTACCGCTGTGTTATTCTCTCTAAACCTCAGTTGTTTCATCTGTTAAATGAGGGTATTAAATAGTATCTACTTAATAGGATTATTTTGAGGATTAAATAGATTATCTGTGTGAAGTAATTTAAAAAGGGGCATGGTACATATAGAGCATTCAATAAATGTTTGTTGTTATTGCCATTTATTTATTAAAAATATATGTAACCAGTAATTTTCTGACCTCGTATCATGGAGGTCACCAAGTTATCAAAGTGTCAGCGTGGTCTGAATTTAAGCATGTGCCTCTTCTTCAGAAGTTCTGAAATCATATTTGAGATTGATGGCATAAAAATAAATTCTTGTTTCTTATCATACAATACCTAAAACAACTGGACTTGCCAATACTCTTCACTTATTTCTGCCCATAGGATAAGTGTAAAGTCATCTATTACCTCCTAGGGGCCAGACCCTATGGATACCACAATTCCTATCCCACTTGACCTCTTCTGTGTTAGACGTTGTGGACCCTCCCTCTTCCTCTTCTCTGACTTCCAGAACACATACTCTGTTGGTTTCCTCCCTGTTTTTCTTCCCTTCTTTTTTTTTTTTTTTTTTTTTTTTTTTTTTCGGCCTATACTGCTTAGTCACTTGTGAGCACCTCTTCCCGTTCTTCAAATAGTGCTATTGACTAGATCTCTTTCCTTCTCACTTCACACACTTACCCTGGTGATGCCATTCTCCCCCAGAATTTCACCAAGCTAATGACTCCATATCCACCTTTTCTGCCACTGCCTGAGTCCTGGCCCTCATCATTTCCAACCTGGCCTACAGAAATTGCCTCTGAATGGTCCTCTACCTACCACCTTTTCCACACCTTAAAATTTCTCCTTAACACAGCCACCAAAATGACCTTTCTAAAATGTAAATCTGACTTTGTCATCTTTAAACTAGAACACTTCAATGATTTCTCTTACCCTGCTAGCCAAGATTTTAAATGTTTAGTAGTTCTATCCCTTCTGCTTCTTAATGACTCACATTAAGAAGGCACCCTACAAGTTTCTGTCACTCAGAATATACCCAGTTCAAACTAAGAACACAATTCTAAAAGTTTTCTCAGGACTATACTTTTATTCAAATCACTTTCCATTATAAATCATTGGCTATACTCTTAAAATCAATTAAAATAGGTTCTTACCTCCAGTAAATGAAAATTACCAGATCTCTTAAGTTGGAATTTTTTAGAAAAAGGCAATTATAGACAACACATACACACATCATATATTGTTGCTTTTTTTTTTTTTTATAGGAAAGATCCAAGAAAGAATTTAGATTTTTCATGATAGGGAAAGCATATGATATAAGAACATATACTTGACTATCCTTAAAATCAGTTGAATAAAGGAAGCAGAGTAATAATAAAGATTGGTTATTCTATAATTGGCACCATTGTCCAAGAGTTTAGAATTTGGATCCATCATAAATTTCCAATCCCCATATTACAGAACTGCTAAAATTAATCTTTGCCATAAATGAAGGAACATTTGTTGCAATGCACACGTCTCAGAACCCTCTGTCAATGTATAGACCCCATGTATAGGGATGTACAGGAATTCAAGAGAAATTGCTAAAGGAAGAGGGGCAATGGCAAGACCTCCTGCGTCAGGAGCCAAAGCTCTGAATTCTGTCTTGACCAGGGTCCTGCTTCCCAGAGGTGGTAAGATTAAGCCAATTAATTAGTTTTTCAAGATGTCTCATCTTCAGAATGAGGGGCTTTAATTACCCAGATATCTAAGACACTTGCCAGTTTAGAAATGGAGATGTTTAACTCTTGCATACTTAGAGAACAGAAAAGCCCTCTCAGAACATGCTTTGAGAAGGCTCAAGTCCCCTTGGTCTCTCAGGTCACTCATAGTTCAAAGACCACTTAGGTGTCCAGACTTGATGAGGCTCCCTAATCTACACTCATGCAAGCCTCTACTATCAGGTGCTAAAATCTTTAGCTTCCTCACTGCCTTAACCATGCTAGATATTTTCATATAATGTAGCCCAGATTGTTCTAGGCTCAACTCAAGAAAAATTTAGGAGAGCATTCAACATAACATCCCCCTGCTTGCAGGTACCAGTAAAGACGCCTTCCAACATCTCCTCAGCCTTCAAGTGACACACACTAAACATTTCATAAGAGAAGGGCTGGAGGCATGGCAAGTATGTGTTTTTAGCACCAGTTTCTTATTTTAGGTTATAATCACTGGATGCAATAAAAATCAAAGGTAGAGTTGACTGTATCAGAGAAGTTAAGACATGTATATCATCATTGTCATCGCAGCTGGGCATTTTTTTCTGCAGCAGTGTTTTAATGTGTTGGATAGGATTGTAAGTGAATTGCACTGGCATCACCATTTTGGACCACATTTTGCTGTATGATGAGCTGCAAGCCAGAGTCTATACTGTTTAACTTAGGGCTCAATAGCATAAGCAATAAAATATAATGAGGAAAAAAAAAGTCTGCATTCTACAGTGTATCAACCAAAAAGCCATCCCAGCCTTGAATGCTCTGCTGATATTTCAACATGTCTGTTCTAGACTACTCTCTGTAAATCTTCCATAGAAAGAAAACCCTTGACATATAGTTACTATTGTACTTCTGTCAAATACAGGTAGGGTTTTGCAAAGAAGATGGAAAAAGAATGCAATGAGCCTATCTGCATTATTCAAACTAGAAAAAGAAAGCAATGTGCTTCATATAGCTCAAGCCAAATGATCCACATTCCCTAAGTCAGAAGTCCAAAACTCACAGAGAAAATCCAGAAATCCTTTAGTTTGCTTTATTCGAAGCCTTGTGCTTATCAGAAGACATACAAGCCTTGGAATTAAGTCAGAACAATGTATAAAGGTGTGATATACTGAAAAAATAGACAATTCAGCCAGCCAGCAGGAGTCCAGGAAGTGTGAAATCCCTCTTACAGATCACAGGCCCCACAGTCACCTGGAACGAGAGCTCCGAATGTCACTTACCCTATGACAACACAGGAGATGGCAGTTCCCAAGAAGGCATATGTTAAAATAGATCCTAAGTTTTGAAAAAAGTGTCTCTGGGGAGAAAAAAAATATTTAATAGAGTACATCAGTATTTTTCTTCATGCAACAGGAAATAAAAATAAATGTGTGCATTTCACAGGCCATCCCTTCTCTCACTGCTTAGGCACATTTTGGTTTTGGAGCCTCATTCCTGGCCTTGTAGAGACTTAACTGATTTACATTGCAAAGGACAGGGGGAAAACACAAGAAACAGAAAAAAAAAAACCCTCTGGAAGGTGATCAGGTAAGGATGACAGAGACAACTGCCAGAACTGGCTGGACCTGAGAGGGAAGGAAGGGATTGAGGAAATGTCTATGTAGGACTCTAGGTCAACTAAAGGAAGAGACAGTTTTCAAGAAGTTTTATTATGAATGCAACTCCTTTACTATTTAAAAAAATAATATTCTAAGAGATTTAAGTTGCCTTTTGAATTTTATTAGATCTCTGACTTTTATATGTATTCTGAATGTGATGAAACCAAGAAATTAAAATGTATAACAATTCACTTTATTTTAATAAATCAGCCAAAAATGACTACTAGCATTGGGGCTGGGAACGTGGAAGGATGACCGGAGTAAATCCAGCCTTCTAAATCTATTCAAATGCTTACTTAAGGAAAACTCTCAGTTCTTTAAGTGAAATCTGAGTAGCCAGAACTGACAGCAAGAGGGAGCCTGGAGTACAAGAGAGAACCGGGTCTGCGATGAACAAGCTGCCTGGTGTTGGAGATAGGTCAAGGGGAGGACAGCAGCCCCAGGAGTCTCTCAGGGAGAGAGATGAGCAGCAGAAAAGCAGCTACCTTACCTCTGCATTTCGAAAACCATACAGGACAAAGGCTCACTCTGTGGCTCAGGGAATGCTAATACTTAAACTCTTATGTGAATTATAATGTACAAAATGTGCACAATCAGGCTGTGCCCCAGTGGTGTCAAACAAGTGCATAGAAACTGCAGAACTGGACTTTCTCTGAGCGTAAACGTCATTCTTGAGTTTTCACTTTGATGGATAAACTCAACATTAATTAACAAATGAACTCTTTGGTTATAATCATCTAGAATAATACTGTCCAATAGAAATATAATAAAAGTCACATAGATCATTTTAAAATTTTCTACTAGCCACATTAAAATGTTTTTTAAAAAGTGAAATGCATTTAGGTAATGTTTTCATTAATCTAGTATATCTGAAATACTATCAGTTCTATCTGAAATCAATATAACATATTATTAAGACATATCACATTCTTTTTTTAAAATAAAAAGTCTTTAAAACCTGGTGTGTATTTTATACTTAAAGTACATCTCAATTCAGACTAGGCACATTTCAAGAGTTCAACAGCCGCATGTGGCTAATAGGCTGTGCCTTGGACAGGCTAGGTTTAGAAGAATTCTAGAACGCTAAGCATTCAGGTTTGAATCTGTATCACATAATCTAAGATAATGATATTCTTACCCCATGCAAATAACTATTTTTTCATTAGTGCTGGTAAAATT